TAACTTAATTAACCCATATTTTTAAAATCTATGTTCTGGCATATGGTTCAGTTACCTCTTCTTGGTATGACACATATGACTTGCTTCAACCCTGCTGGTGAAATTGAGTGCCTAGATTCCTCTCTCTTTGCCTAGAAGTGCTACATATTCTCTCCTGCCTAACTATTGGCCATTTAGCTCTTTATTAAACCAAACAGACAGCACCTTTGGCAGAAATTTATTTTTACAGTATAAGCAAGTATTCCATAGCAGTCTAGCTCTGGTTCAGAGAATTGATGGGTTAGACTGGCTTGATGCATAGCTCTTTCCTGATACCAATCTTAATGTCAAGAAGGGCTTTCTAGAAGTTGTCTCAAAAGAGTGGTTCTATTGGTATCTTCCCAAAGGACTAAGTTAGCAAGCATGGTTTGAGCCCACAGCAATGCTAGGTATTTGTTTTGGGGGTAGGAAACCAAGAACAAGAAAGAAATTAGCCAGGAAGGTGGTTTAGTGGTACAGTCTCACTGCTCTATCTGTCCATTATCTCTCAACTTTCATCCCTCTTCATAATCATCTGTCTGTTGACTATGTCAATCATCTAACAATCATTCATTACCATCTACCTATCTATTATTCATCCATTAAATCAATCTGTTGCTAAACATCCTGTCTCTCCAGGTTCCTGCCTTGTGATTGTTTCTGAGTTGTAAGCTAAAATAGCCATTTCCTCTTCAAGTTACTTTTGGTTGTGGTGTTTAAGTACAGCAGTAGAAACACCATCAGTGCCAATGCCCACTTCAATGTTACCTCCCTCCCCAGGTGAGAGGTCATGACCCAACATTGTGTTAGCTTGAAAATCACTCACAGACTATGTCTTAGTAAGGTGCTTGTCATGTCTGTGAAAGGGAGATGAGCTGCTGCAGATATCATGGCCTGAGAAGAGGCTAGATTCTAATACTATATTCTTACCAGTATGTGAAGATTCCTACAAGATCGGAGCTTGCCAGCCAGTCTAATCAAGTGAGGCCCAGGCCAGTGAAAGACCATGTTTCAAGTAAATATACAGACTGACTGAAGACACTGGACACAATCATTTGGACACCACATGAACATGCATACATTTGTACCCGCATACATGCATTAAGCATGTGCGGGAACACATATACACTCACAGAATCCGATACAGAGCTGGTCTGTAATTGCTCCTATACTAGTCTCTAGTGGGCCTCTCTTAGCAGGGTTGCCTCTGGGCCATCAGCTTCCGTTAACTATTTCCTAGGTATAATATATTTTCATTATAGGCTTCCCCTAATATCCCCAGTGCTTAAAATATGCAGTTATCTCTTTTTGGGAAACAAATCTTCCACTTTACCCTCACTTCAACTTAGACCCATGGTATTCCTGTATTTTGTAATCATTTTTATAAAATTCTGAATATATATATCTTTGTAACCATTCTTCTTCATGAAGTCATACATATTAAGCCATGCAGCTATCACCACCATCCATCTCCAGAAACTTCTCTTCAAACTGAAACCCTGCACCAGTTGACCGCTCTTCCCCAGCCCTTTGCAGCCGCCCTTCTTTCTACTTTCTGTCACTCTGTTGTTTGGGGGGAGGGGTTGATACGTTTTTTTGTTATTATTGTTACTGTTGTTTTTATTTTTTTGAGACAGGGACTCTGAGGTACTCTGGCTGACCTGGAGCTCACTACACAGACCAGGCTGACCTCACATTTGCAGCGATCCTCCTGCCTCTGCCTCCTGCGTGTTGGGATTACAGGTGTGTCACACACCTGACTCTTTTCTGGTTAAATTTCCCATCCCTGGGATCTCAAAAGTCAGTCACATGGCACCTGTCCTTTTATGTCAGGCTTGCTTCATCCTACACAAGTGCCTCCCAGTTCACATATGTTGTAGCAGGTGTCAAAGCTTCCTTATTGATTTCTAAGGCTGGATATTTCTCCATTGAATCAGTATACCACATTTTGTTTATGCATATGTATGCAAATCTATGCATTCATATATCTGTCCAGCCACCCACCTATCCACTTCCACCATTTGGCTACTATGAATAATGGTGCTTTGAATATAGGTGTACAGAGATCTTATGGAGTCTTTGCTTCCAATTCTTTTTTTTTTTTATTGAAAACATTTTTTTCATACAATATATTTTGGTCGAGCTTTTCCCCTCCCCCAACTGCTTCCAGATCCTCCTCAACTTCCACCCACTCAACTCCATGCACTCTCTCTCTCTCTTAAAAAAAATAAATAAACAAAAACAGAAATCCCAAAGGAACACACAAAAGCTCCATGAAAACACAAAAACATAAAATGACATATACAAGCAAAAGACTGACCATTAAGACAGAAAATGTCCAAACAAAGCAAAATGAGGCAGTTTACAAAACCACCATTATCTTTGTTTTGTGTTGGTCAATTACTCCTGAGCACGGAGTGAGACCAGTGAGACCCCATAATTTCCCCTTGGCTGTGGCAGAGAGCTTCTTGTTAGCTTATTCCTCTTCCTCATCTCAGTGCTGGGATCCTATCTGGCTTTCACCTGTGCAGGCCTTGTGTATGCTGCCACAGTCTCTGTAGTCACATTTATCAGTCCTGTTGTGTCTAGAACACACTGTTTCCTTGGACACATCAATTCCTCTGGTTCTTACACAATCTTTGCCTTTCCTCTTCCCCAGAGATCCTTGAGTCATGAGTGAGGGGTTTGATGAAGACATCCCATTTAGGACTGAGTGTCCCAAAGTCTCTCACTCCCTACACATTGTCCAATTGTGGGTCTCTTTGTTAGTTCCCATCTACTGCAAGAGAAGTGTCTGTGATGATGACTGAGTGAGCCACTAATGTGAGTGCCAGCCCGCAGTGGCTACTAGAGGTGCCTGGTAGAAAGCATTTCTGGGATCAGTGGAGGACACAGAGGAGTGAAGATGGGCTAGAAGGGAAAGCTGAGAGGGCCTTCAGGAAATTAAAAAAATGTTTTGTTTATGTGTGTCTTGCCTGTATGCATATATGTGCACCATGTGTGTTCCTGATAACCTGTGGAAACCAGGGGGTATCAGATCCCCTGTAACTGGAGGTGCCCTGTGAATGCTGGAAATCAAACTTGGGTCCACTGAAAGAGCAGCAAGTGCTCTTAATGGCTGAGCTATCTTGGCAGCCCCATTTTTCAACCTGAATGAGCTGATAGGTGAAGATAAATTTACTATAAAGCAGGTATTTCCAACTTTCTAATGTGTCTTTAAAAAGAAGTATTCACTGGGCTGAGTTAAACGAAGCATTTGGTGGTGGAGGTGACAGCCAGGACCTTGCTACTACCTATTGTTACCTTTTGGATTTCTCTGAAGTGGAGGCATTCTAGGTGTGGGTGATTCTTCTGCCGTCTTTATGCCTGCCCTCTATAACTCTGCACAAGACACTTGTATTTCATAGCTCCTGGCCACAGCTGCCTAGACACAGCTTCACTGATCTTTCTGCCTCCATCCTCTACAGCGCTGGGGTTAAAGGTGTGTGTGTGTGTGTGTGTGTGTGTGTGTGTGTGTGTGCATGCGTGTGTGTGTATGTGTGTGTAAGTATGTGTATATGATGTGTACGTGTGTGTATGTATGTGTGTGTATGTACGTGTGTATAAGTGTATGTGTGGTGTGTACATGTGTATGTATATGTGTGTATGTTAAGCATGTGTATGTATGTGTATGTGTGTGTAAGTATGGTGTGTATATGTGTGTATGTGTATGTGTGTAGGTGTGTGTGTTGGAGTATGTATGTGCATGCATGTGTGAGTACGTGTGTGCATGCACGCATGTGTGTGCACATGCATGCCTGTGTGTGTGTGTGTGCGTGTGTGTATGTGTGTATGTGTGTGTGTGTGTGTGTGTGTGTGTGTGTGTGTGTGGCCATGCTCAGCTGTTTACATGGGTGTTGGGGATATGAACTCCCGTTCTCATGCTTGTGCAGTAAGTAACTTTCCCGCTACTCCTTCTCCCACTGCCCCATCTCTTCAGCCCCAGAGACTTAACAGTTTCTATGAGTCCCATGATTGCCATGCAATCATCTGTCATCATGGCAACAGTCACCTTCCCTCGTGGCAGCCAGGCAGCCTGACCTTCCAGGAATTGGTTTGGAGACACTGCAGGCTGCATCAGGACCCTTAGTGGGAGGCGACAAGGTGCCAGCAAGAGCATACTCAGTGCTTTCTTTGTTTCAAATATTTTATTAATCTGTTTGGCCAAACAAGTAATGGAAACTGAGAATAATAATTGGCTAAAAAGTTCAGGTCATGAGTGCCCCTTTCCCCCAGGAAACAAAAGACTCCATGGTTCCAGAATGCACCATTGGGATATGACACCATTTCAAAATCAGGTTCCCATTTATATGTAACAATGTAAACTTCAAAAATAGTAAACTCTAACCCCAGTCCCTCTATACAGATCTATCACAGATAGAAGTTTCTGGCAGACTAGATTGTGTAAGTAAACAGCCCGGTGCTTAAAAGTTTCTTAAAAAGGTTTACAGACTCTGTAAGTAGTGTTTCAGTCTTAGTCTGGAAGTGAAAGCCACCAACAATTCCTCCCACACAGTGCACCTGCTGTGCGTGCTACACACCAACCACCTTCCAAACACACTGGCCACCAGCTTTGTCACTTTTGTACACACATATACACATACAGTTTGTTTTTTAAAGATTTCTACATCTAAATTATAAGACGGCGCCAGTGACATATGATGTCACCTCGCTTCACATAGGTAAGGACAGAGATGCTGTAGAAGGCACTAAGTTCTCATGGTCTTGTGAAGACACAAGAAAGCAGGCCAGCTAGGTCAGATTTCCACTTTCTATTATGTGACCTGGCACGGGCCTGTCCTCCAATTATCTTCATGCCCATTATCCTTGTCTGCTTCGCCTTTCTCTTCCCTTCCCATCCACCCATCTGTCCACCACCCAGCTATCCATCTATCCATCCATCCGTCCATCCATCCGTCCGTCCGTCCGTCTGTCTGTCCGTCCATCCATCCATCCACATTAACTGACAATTATCTTTTGGTTCATTGAAATTCCTTAAAATTAAGTATACAGTTCTGATATAAAACAAAATATGACCTACTGTAGCTGAAAAATAATCACAGTGTACAATGTCATTTTCAGTTGCTAAGAGGCAGAGCATTTGCCCCGGTGTGTCCAGCTTGCCTGCCCTCTGAAGCAATCAATGCAAGGCTCATTTTACCCCATTTTACATTCATTGAAGAAGCACTGAGAGTTTCTTTTCTCCTCCCTTTTGAATTGGTACCCTTAAGTGGAAGGTCTGATGTGGGAAAGTGCAAGCAAATTGGACATGCCAATAAATACCATAGAACTTACTGCAGATTACCAAAACTGTACATGTATGTACACCTCACCCACCTGAGGTTCCTCCCTTAGGAATAGACCTCAAAAACATTACCATGGGGGCATCCCAGAGTCCCAGAGCAGTGGTCTCAGCGAGCAAAGGATGGGCGGGCTCTTCTGCTCCTGCTCTGGGGACCTGTGCCCAAGTCCCCGCTGCTCTCTGCAGTCTCTTCCTTCTTCCTTACTTTGAGGCGGGTGAGCAACTTGATCAACCAGACATCCCACTCTTCTGGCAGGAGCAAGAGGAGGAAACCCAGGCCGATAATGATGATGGCGATGACCCGGACTCCATTGAATACTATCTGACTGGTATAGTGATCGACCACTACGGGAGACAGAGTAGCATTTACTCAGCAGCAGGGCTGTGGACATGGTAATATAGCTAAGCATCCTCTAGGGCAGGATGTTTGAAATCCTTTGGGGACCCAGAATCCTGCCCAGCAGGGTTTTGTTAATGCCTGCTGGGGTTGCCTCTAGGATATCACAAGGAATTTCTTAAGACCTGCCTCCTCTGAGGCCTTGGGTTGTGTGTTGCCATCTGAATCTAATCCAGCACCAGGCTGTAAATGGTGACTTGAGTGTGAGAAGAAAATAAATCAAGAGTAATTGGAAATGTAAGTATAATTAGACATGCCAAGGTTTAGTTCTGGCCAATTTGGGATTTCAGGATGAAAAAAATACTATTTTATTTTTGGTACTTTTTCACATTACATTATACATGACATTTATTTTATAATTTAATCTCACTATATGTGCATATATGTGTGTATGTTTTGATAAATATGATCCTGTTCTTTTAGGATACAATTTGTGGAATTTTAAAGCTTTATTTAGTTAGTTATTCATGTATTTTTGCTTTTATGCTGATGATCATGTGAGTGTTGGGGTGGGGGGGCACGGTGTGGTCAAAGAACAACTTTTGGGAGTCATTTCTCTCCTTCCACTTTGTAGGTACCAGGAATCGAACCTAGGTCACCAGGCAGAGTGGCAAGTATCTTTGCCATCTCAAACCATGCCCCTTGTTTTTGTTTCTTGAAATAGAGTCTCATGTAGCCCAGGCTATCCTTGAACTCACTATGTAGCTGAGGAGGCCTTCCTTCGCCTCCTGAGTGGGGGCTTACAGATGTATGCCAGCATACCCAGCTGTAATAAAGACTTCTTGATATTCCTTGCCCACTGGTTACTGTGAGGCTCTAAGTCTCAGGTGAAGTCCCTTGCTCTGAGGGCTTCCCTGAAGACCCCTGGCTTGTCCTGATGAGCAGTCGGGTGACAGGACTAAATGGGAAGTAGGATTAGATTGATCTATATGAATCCAGTCACTCTCCTAACAGCCCTGATGGTGTTCCCTTCTTTCCTGTTTGGGAGTGAATCTCTTTTCTCCTTGGCTAACACAGATTAGGCCCATTTGAAGCCTGCCTGCCTCAGAGAGATAGTCTAGCCTAAAAACAAAACAAAACACAGAAAACAAAACCTGTCCTCTACTCGAGGGTGCAAACCCTGAAGTTCCCAGCTCTTAATGCTGACTAACTAGGCAGCTGTCCACCACTCACTCTGGTGGGGACTGCTTTTTCCTCTCAGTGTGGCTCCGTTAATTACATAACTTCCTACCTCCTTCTCCTTCTCTCCTCTCCTTTCCTCCTCGTGTTGTCTAACAGGGAGGCAGAGAAGGAATGGGAGGGTAGTAGTTCATCCCAAAACCAGTTCTTTTCAGGGCCGTCCTGTAGACTTTCAGAAGCACTTCAGGTTTTAACGTTGATGGTGTTCTGTTAATTCATTAGCTGGGAACGGTACACCCAGGGCCCCCTGAGCAGATGCCAGGGTGAGCCTACAGGCTGGTGACTGCTCTGCTCGGCCAGTTTCCAGAATGCTGGTCCTTGCCTCCCTCCTCCTTGCAGGAACTGGATTCAGCAGTTGACATGGGATTAATAACCCTCTGCTTTTGGCTGCAGGATGTGGCCAAAAGTAACTCTTGATGTCAAACAAATGTGGGATATGCCTTTTACCATATATTCATGTTAACACCAAATTAAAACACGAAGGTTGCAGGGGAAGCTGTGTAAGAAATGCCTTCCAGGTCCAGGAGCTCAGGTGCCTTAACTTGAAGATCTCTCTCTCTCTCTCTCTCTCTCTCTCTCTCTCTCTCTCTCTCTCTCTCTCTCTCTCTCTCCCACCCTCCCTCATTCCTTCCCTTCTCTCCTCCCTCCCCCCCCAATGCATATGCGTGTACAAGCATATGTGTTCACATGAGTGCTGTGCTGTAGGTGGAGATGAGGGTCTACTTCAGCCATTGTTCCTTGGGTACCATCTACCTTTTGGGCAACAGGGTCTCTCTCTTGCTTCGAACCCATTAAGTAGGCCAGCCTGACTGATCCATGAGCCAAGGGAGCCTCCTGTCTATGTTTCCTGGGGGCTGCAATTGCAAGGGTGTACTGCCATGCTGGCCATCCACCCCCAGCTCTGAAGAGCTGTCTTATGAATTGTTTCCTTTATTTCTCAATAGGGTGCGAAAAGAGCACGCACAGCCTTCGATTGTGAGGGGACAGGCAAAGGGGCTGATGAATGGGGACCAAAGACATCTAGGATGGGGTTGGGAGTGCTGGGCTGAGCCCAGTATTCTGAGGTCTATTCACACTGTGACCATGAGGCACCTGGGAAAGTCTGGCCAAGGCAAGGCATATACAGAACTGGGGGGCAGGGTGGGGGAGGGGAGCCAGGGAGCTGGGCTTCAGGAGAGTCTTGGAATCAAGAGGGACTTTGCTTGGGAATAGGCTATGGGGCTGGGTCCCTGGGAGACAAGTCTTTTAATGGGCTGGAGTCAGGGGCCCAGAGGCAACTTTTCAGGAGCCAGGGCATGAGACAGAGGATTTTGGAGAGGAAATCCAAAGTTCAAACCAACAGTAGGCAGGACGGGAGAGTAGGTGGGGGACAGATGAAGGCAAGCTTTGGGAAGAACTGCCAACTCATGTCAGCTACAAGGCTCCAGGGCAGGACAAAGTGGGTTCCCATACCCAAACAAAGGACTTTCACCCTTTCCCAGGAGGCAGAAGGAAATAACACCCCCGCCTCACTGGAGTGCCAACCTGATTCCACATGACTACCCCGTGTGGCAAAAAAAAATCAGTCATTTTCTGCTCCATGCTTTTCTAGTTATATTCTTTGTTAGAAGAGAGACAGCTTTGGACATTCTATGCTCAACTGGACATAGAAATCTCTCTGTTAAGTAGGGCCTGATGGCATGTGCCTGTAATCCCAGAGGCTGAGCAGAAGGACTTGAAATCAAAGACTATCTGGGCTATGATGTGACTTCAAGGCTAGCCTGGGAAGCTTAGTGAGAAGAACCTGTCTCAAAATAAAATGCTTAGAAAGGACTAAGGAAGCAAAGCTCAGTGGTAGGGAGCTTGCCTAGGGTGCATGAGGCCCTCACTTCCACTCTAAATACTGTAAAATAGGTAAACAAAAGAATATCAAAAAATACAAGTCTGTCATGGGAAAATACTGCATATGCCACAAACAGCATTATACTAAATGCATTTTCTTTCTTTGCAGAGGTTAAACATGCCTTGTGAGCAGCCATAGTTAGAATAGATATGAGTGGCTATGTGAAAGTGTGCTCTCAAGGGTGTGTGAGCCTGAAAGATGGTGTGTTTAAAATGAACAGAGACAGAAATCCATGAAACAATGCTTACCTGCATTCACAGGTACACTGAGGACAATTCCAAGAGACATCAGTGTGGGGTACGTAACAGCGATTCCAAAATTTAATACAATATTGAATGCTGAAATAAAGAATTTAGAAGAGTGCAGTTACTCATAACTGTCCTTCCTTGACCTCTGTGCTGGCGTATTTGACCCCCCAGCTTCTCATGGAGACAGGAGGCAGGCATTATAAGGAGTCCTGTCATTCCATGAACTTAAGTTCTTTCTTGAAGGTCCAGGATTGGGGTAAGAAGAAGAATTCTAACAAGTCACAGAACTTGAGTTTTGGAGAAGGGTAAGGATCTGAAAAAGGTGACCAAAGAGCCAGGGCTAGGAGAGAGGACCAGGCAGTCTGATGGACTCTATGATTCTTCATAGTTTCTGTTCCTGGGGTGGGTGAATAGGGATACAATGACCTGGTTAGCTTTAATTGTCAACTTGACAGCCTATTGTCACTCAATTGGGAGTCTCAATTGAGGAGTTGCCCGAATCAGACTGAATCAGACTGACCTGTGGACCTGCCTGTGGGGGATTGTCTCCATAGTTAATTGATGTATGAGGACCCGGTCCACTGTGGGCAGCATCGATCCTTAGGCAGGTGGTCCCGGGCTACAGAAGCTACTTAAGTGTAACCCAGTGGCTGAGCTCAAGAACAAGCCAGCAAGCACAGTTCCTCTATGATTTCTGCTTCAGGCTCCTGTCATATGTTCTTGCTCTGATTTCCCTCAGTGTTGAACTGTGTGACCTGGAAGTGTTTCCTGCTCTGATTTCCCTCAGTGTTGTTAGACTGTGACCTGGAAGTGTTTCCTGCCCTTATTTCCCTCTGTGTTTGTTAGACTGTGACCTGGAAGTGTTTCCTGCCCTGATTTCCCTGTGTTGGGCTCTGACCTGGAAGTGCAAGCCAGATGAATCAATCCTTTCCTCCTCTAAGTTGCTTTTGACCATTATATTTGTCACAGCATCAGAATGAAACTAGAATGAACTTGTGGGTGCCTTCTCTGCCACTCTCCTTCCTAGCAGCAGCCTTCATCTGGGGGTGGTGATGATGGTGAGACTCTAATAACAGTAATTAATCATTTTTACTGAACAGTGACACTTTAGCAATGCTCCTCGGGTGATTGTTACATTAATTCACTAACCATGGACTGCCATTGTGCTATTCAGAACAGCAGTGACAGTTGCAATGACAATGACCATGACAGTGACCAATAGACCTGCAAAGCTCTCATAAAATCCAAGGAGTGGGACTGGAGAGATGGCCTACAGCTAAGAGTATTAGTTGCTCTCACAGAGGACCTAGGTTCAATTCCAAGCACCCACTTCATCAGACAGCTGCTGCAAACTCCAGATGCAAGACATCTCACAACTCCTTCTGGCCTCCATGGACACCTGCATACATTCATACACACACACACACACACACACACACACACACACACACACGTAAATAAATATAAAAATACGGGGGGGGGGGAGAGATGGCTCAGTGGTTTAAGAACACTTCTTCCTCTTGAAGAAGACTGGGTTTGTTTCCTAGCATCCACATTGTCACTCATTACAGCCATCTGTAATTCCAGTCTCAGGGGATCTGATATCTTCTGCTGACCTCCACAGGTGTCAAACATTTCCTGGTGCACATACAGGCAAGCAAAACTCATAAATATAAATAAACTCATGCACCCTTATATGTATAATGAAATAAATAAATCTTTTTAAAGGTCCTACCTTCTAAGACCATCTCCCAAAAATCTTTTTTTTTTTTAAACCTTAAATATTGTTCTTTAAAAATATCCATGGACTTTGAAAAAAAGAGTGAGAACTTTAGGTCAGCAAGGGACCATGGATTTTTTTTTTTTCCTTCCTAACTTGGGTTTCCAAAGAGTTCTGTGTCTGTTGCTACTTGCTGGGGTTTCTGCACAGGGCGGGTGCCACTTACTCAATAAGAGAATGGAAAACCCACAGAGGTTTCCCCATGGAATGTCGTCGAAGGAGTTCCAGTACTCCACTCTGGTGAAGTAGAGGATGACGGGGATACAGGTGATGAAGAGGATGTTGAATACACCCAGGATGGACAGGAATAAGGCCGCTTCTCCGAACTTGGCACTGCCCAGCAGCAGCTTGAACAGAACCTGCCAGAGAGAGGAAGAGGTGACGGTACCCTGGACACATACATGCATGTGGGAGGAGAGTAGTGCATTCTCGACAAAGCTGGGGCTGAGCACGCAGTGGGCACTATGGTCCCACTGGGTTTGCTTTTCTATGCCTGCCAGTGAAGGCTGGTGATATTTGATGGAGTGCTGCAGCCCACATGTCCTGGTACAGCAGCTCAAGCTGAATTACGTCTGGCCTCACATTGCTCATCGCCAGGAGTCTAATAGGGCTGCATACTGGATGAGGCTGTTCCATGTTGTGCTCGCAACGCTGCCTCCCTTAGAACTATCTGCTGTGATTGTACATCCTCTCAGGAGCCTTCCAATGGGTCCTGACCCAGGACAGTGTGTGTGTGTGTGTGTGTGTGTGTGTGTGTGTGTGTGTAGTGATATGGGGGCCAGAGATTGACCTCAGGTCTCTTCCTGGATTCATTCACCACTTACATTTTATGACAGGGTTTCTACTTGGACCCAGAGCTTGGCGATTTGGTTAGTTTAGCCAGCGTCCTTGGAGGGGCTCCCATCTCTGCTTTCCATGTGCTGACGTTGCAGCTGGGGTGTGCCGCCCAGTTGGTATTTACACAGCACTGGGAGTCTGAACTCTAGCCCCCACGCTTGCAAGGCAAGTGCATTACCGTGGGCAGCAAGTTAAACAGTCACTGCCCCCAGAGAGGACTTCACCTTCAAAGATGCTTTCTCTGAACCCAAGTTGAGGGACTTTGCCAGTCCCTGCTCCATCTTACCTCCCTTTGTAGAAATGACATAGGCCTTATTGAGCTGCTCTAGACTTTGCCCCCTGCAACGTTCTTGTTTGCACACCATTTTGGCATTCAAAAGGCTGAGAGGAGGAACGGATGTGCCTGAGTGGCCAGAGGTTTGACTCAGACATGGCTGTGGGCCCCGCCCAGCCTGGTGCTTGGTGAACAAGGTGTCCAGTCAGGTAAGCATTGACATGGCTGTCCTTCCTCTGTCCCTGTGGCTCCTTTGCCTGTTGTGGTCTCCACATATGTCCAGGCAACAGGGAAAGGGAGTGAAGAGCTTTTGGCCGCCAGTGAGTCCCTCTAAACAGGTATTGTGGTTTGGGTGTGACATGTCCCCATCAGGCTCAAGTGCTGGAACATGCAGTCCCCAGCTGGTGGCACTGTTTGGGAAGGGTAGTGGAAGCTTCAGGTGATGGAGCCTGGCTGGAGGAAGAGATGACTGGTGTAGGGGGCATGACCACGACATCTGACATTTTACAGCCCTGAAAATGTCTGCGTTTTTATTATCCATCTGAGGGGGAGAGAGAGGACCTAGGTGAAAGGAAAAGGCGTGGGGGAAGAGCTAGGGGAAGGGACAGCATGGAACCTCACAGAATTGGTCTAAGAGCTGCACACCCCACCACAGACAGTCATTTGCTGCTTCTAGACTGGCAGCTAGGAAGTACTTTCCAACAGCTTCCAACATTTTGTCAGAACTTTTCTTTTCTTTAAGCAAAGATCTGCTAACATAGCCCAGGCTCTCCACAAGCTTCTGGCAATGCTCTTGCCTCAGAGAGTGACACCATGACAGATATCCACCGGGCTCTTGCCAAAAAGATACTTTAGTGCACGCATTTCACAAGCATTGTTCTAACAACTCGTGGACTCAAATTGGCTGGTGCCCTCAAAACCACATAGCCAAGTATTTACATGACAAAGCTACACACATAATCTAGTCTTCATGCCACATCAGACACAAATACAGGCCGGCTCAGGGGTCCAATCTTTCTCAACTGCCTACCTGGCCCTGACCTGGAGCTGTCTCTTGATGCGTACTGAGAATATCTGCTCACCTCAGAATCCCAGACACCATCCAGAACATCCAAAGTGACAGGCTGTGAGCTCCAGAGCGCTGCTACCCTGATGCCTGCCTGCCAAGAAGGTGGGTTCCTTGTGCCTACCTTGTAGAGGGCTGACATGGAAGCAGAGCCCACCACCAGGGCTATGCCGATGACTGAGTGACTGTGGAAACCATCTGCGTAGGTCATCATGACAATGCCTGCGATGGCGAGGATGGCGGCCACGATCTGCAGGGAAGGAGGGAAACATTGTCAGGTGATGGAGGGAGTTCTAAGTGCCTGCCTGAGAGCTACAATGTTCTTCTACTCATGGGGTTCTTCCAGGTGAAGGAAAGTGGTGTTTCATTCTAAGACTCCTGGGGAGAATGGGCAGAGGTGGCTGATGGGTATCTCTTAAGGACACCTATCCAAGCTTAGCATGACCCAAATCTGAGGCAGCTGGTACAGGGTGATAGTGTAGCTTTGTCTCAGGCTGCTGCCAGGGCTGGTCAATGAGCCTTGGAAGACTGGTGATCATATTGTGCAGACTGGTTGGTGAGTCCTGATAAGGCCTGAGGGACAGTCCTTGGTCAGCACCTGGGAAACTGATGACTCTCCTTCAGTCTTCTATAGGTACCTTACAGGGCCCGGATGTGGTGATTTCCCTCCTCAACAGGGATTGCATGGTGGGGACGGCAGCAGTTGTCCTCATTTGACAGTACCACTGACCAACAAGGGCTGCAGACCACATCCTGCCCGGAGTACGGCCCCTTTCCCTTCTCCTTAGCCTTGTCTTCCCTGTGTTTTCCCTCTATGCTGTTCTTAGCACTTGGAGGTTATAGGTTTGAATCGCGGAGGGGACAGTGCCCTGGCATCCAGTGCAAAGTTCAAGCAGAGGCAGCCACAGAGCTCCCATGGCCCCAAGAAACCAGGAGAGGGGAAGAACTTTCAAAACTGACTGGGGGCAGCATCCAACAGCTAAGCTTCAGGGGGTTCAAGCTAAGCATTTCCTGTGTGCTTCCTCGCTTAACCTTGAAACTGGAGATGGTGTCATTCGCCACCTTTTATAGGCAGAAGGACCAAGACTCAGAAAGGATAAGGAATCTGCCTGAAGGCACAGAGCTGGAGGAAGAGCTAAGACAGAGACTTCTTCAGGTCTATTTGATAACAAAGCTGGTTTAACACATTTAAATGGCTGCCTATCATTCCCAGAGTGTGTGGTTGATCATGATGGTCAACTTGATGGGCTTAGACTCATCATGGAAATGCCAGACCTGTCTATGAGGGAGTTTCTAGATTGGGTTAGTGAAGGTAGGATGACCCACCATGATTGTGAGTGGTCCCTTCCCATGGGCTTGTGTCCTGGATTGAATAAAAAGGAGAATAAAAAGCAGAGCATTCACGTCTCTGCTTCCTGACTGTGGATGGAGTGTGACCTCACCCTTCTGCTACCATGCCTTCCTCACCGTGTTGAACTGCACTCTCAAACCATGAGCCAATGTAAACCCTTCCTTCCTTAAGTTACCTTTGTTGGGTATTTCGTCCCAGCAATAAGAGAAGCAGCTAAGACACACAGTAAGCCACTGCCAGCCATGCTCTTAGATGGAAATAGAGGAGTGTCTGGGACCCACGTAGTCTTTGGGTTAGTAAGAGGCACTGTGGCTGACTCTCCGGCTGAACCACATGTGTCTTCTAGGGCCTGCTTTCTGCAAGGGTTCCACACTGTGCTATATTTACCTATAAAAGAGGTTAGGGGAGCTGATGACTACCAAGTATGGGGAAGCCTGGCCCCATCTGCCTGCTCACCCTTGCTGCGTTTTAGCTGCTTCAGAGTCAGCTGTTTCCCTTTTCATCTAACACACACACACACACACACACACACACACACACACACACACACACACACACACTCCATACACAGATGCTACATAGACTGAGAGAAACTGTTTAGCATGAGGACACGAAGCAGGGATGTCAGAAAAGGAGCATCCCTCATTCTGCGAATGAGAGCAGGTGAAATGCAGAAGGGGGACAAAGCACTCCTGCCCCAAGACCACGGTGCTCAGCTCCTGCTAGGTCTTAGAGGCATCTGCCCAGAGGAAGAATTTAAAGCAGGATGATGTGGCTCAGTTGGTAGAGAGGTTGCCTGTCATGCACAAAGCCGCAGGTTCAGTCCTCAACCTTGCATAATCTGGGAGCGGTGGTGTGCACCTGTAATCCCAGCACTGAGAAGTTGGGGGCAGGAGGATCAGAAGTTCAGGGTATGAAACCCTGAAAAGAGGGAAGGAAGGAGGGAAGGAAGCAGAGAGGGAGGGAGAAAGAGACAGACAAACAGACAATAGATAAATGAGAGATAGGTGATAGATAATAGAGAAATGAGAAATAGCTAGATGATGGACAGACAGATAGACAGATAGAGGAGCCTGATTTCTGATGATCCCAAGAGCATGTATGGCTGACACCTGAAATAGTAATAGAAGGACTTTTTTTCCCTGAAGACTTGCAAGGCAGATTCTAGCCTCTGCCACTCGCTCCACTCTTGGTTAAAAATCAGCAGTGAAGAGCTTCCACCTGAACTGGGCTAGAGGGGTCAGACAGGGCAGGTGATGGCCCCATGGCTCCCCTCGGATGTGGAGACAACACGTAGGTGGCACCAGAGACTGACTTCCTAGGGTCCTGACAGGGGTCATGAGGAGGTCTGTAGATCTGACAGTGGGGTTCCTGCTCTCTGAGTTTCAGCAGCCCCTTTGGAACACAAGGCCCCAGCCGGTGTCAGAAGTGTGTGGACAGTTTTCCACCTCCCTTTCAGGATCCTTCCATGCCTAGGAGTTCAAGGGTATGATGAAGATCCACCTGCTTCATGTTCCAAACATAAGACACAGGAGTTTGTTTGTGTTTGTTTGCTTCAGTGAGAAAGTATTCCCAGCCTGTTTTCTGTGCCACAGTAAGCTCTCCTCAAACCCTGTCAAGCTTGTCCTGGCTTTTCAAGTTCTGGGTATAACTTCTTAATCCAGGGCAGCCAATGTGGCCTCTTCCCTGTCCACTTTAAAGACTGAGTAAGCAAAGGTTCAGACATTGGTGTTCTGCTCAAGGACCCACGGCCTCATCACCTACTCCCAGATGGAGCATTTGACCACCATGCAAGAACTTCTGGCCCAGGCTACACATGGAAAGTACTTGTAAGTAGAGATGGGGACAGTTTGAGTCCTGTTCAAGCAGACACTTCAGCAGCACCTTGTCCTTTGATACCAGGACCGACCAGGGTCTCGAATGTATTATAAGACAATTTCCTTGGTTTTGGACCTGTCTACCTGATTTAGGATGCCCCTTTCCCATCTTCAACAAGCTGTAGCTTGAAGCAAATATTCTAATCACACAGGTTGTTTGCCACCCTCCTACCCCCCTCATCACTGCCCCTGCACACAAGGAGGGGCCTTGGTCTATTCTTCAAGCCTGTGAAGCTGACATTGTTCACTCAGACCCCGGGCTGGAAACTATATCAACTCTTACATCTTTGGAAACTCCCTAGTGGAAGTAGCTGCCTGCTCCAGATGTCTACCTGAATGCTGAGTGATTTACAGCTAGACACGACCTTGGGCCCTCCTCCAGCTGTCTATTGTTTGATTTCACAGATTCCATGAGCTGTCTGAGCTTTGTATTGAACCTGCTGCCTGCAGTGGGAAGCTCCTCATTGACTAACCATGCACTGTTAAAAGGAGACCGTGCCTGCACAGTGTCTTCATGTTACAGCATCCTGTCACCCATGCTGACCCAGTGGCCTCTCCTACAGCACCTACTGAGCATTGAAAACCTTAGCACAAACCTGTAGCGTGCAGTGACCAGCAGAGAGCACTCGAATCAGAGGCTAACGTTAGCAGTTGGAAAGTTCCCTCTCCACCGATGACAAACAAGCACAGATCTCAACCACCCCGTGTTCCATGAGTCTGCTGAGTAGTTCAAGTGCATCCACACCCACACCCCTCAACCTCAGACCTTTCTGTTTTCTCTGCAGCACATATCATTGACCTTGAAGTCTACCTTTCCAGTAACAAAAAATTGCTTGGGACATCTGCTCCATGCCCCAATGCTCTTTGAAGGCTCTTGATTTTTTGACCCCTAAATGAAGCCTGGAAAGGCATGGCCATGGGTCAGTGTCCCTAGGACATCCAAGTCTTTAGCTCTGAGTCTGTGTGAAGCACCTGCAGTCTCCCCAGAGATGTATGTATTAGATCATTTATTTGCTGAAGGCTTTTCTGGGTGGCAGCCCGGGGCGTGAGTTTTTATTCCAAAATTAACCCTGTGTCTCAAAACAAACTCTACCCCCCACTGTAAGCTAAAAATATGAACCAGCAGTTGACTCATGTCCTCACTGCTGTTTGTATAACTCAGGTGGGCGTAAGCCCACCCTTAAGGTGATGTCATTGTTCCCAGGACAATGAAGCAAGGGCAGAAACAGAGGATCTCGAGTCTGTCTCTTGATAGTTGCCAACATGGATAGCTCGAGGAGGCTACTGAGCACTGGGCCCTGAGCATTCAGGAGGAAGGAGGAAATGGTTAGCTGCACCAGTGACCAGTGTTCTGTCCTGCTCTGTGGTAAGGAGATGAACAGCAGAGGCAGCCCCTGGCCACCAGAGGGAGCACCTGTTGGCTCTCCTTGGGTTAGGTCACTCCAGGTTCCTACTAGGATCTGACATGCTCCATGCAACTGTCAGGAAATCTGGCTAGCTTTAAATTTACTACGACTCTCCTGGAAAATGCCAGGCCATTTAAGTGATGTCATTGTGTTTGTTCTTGATCTACAGTTTGAAGTGGAATGCGCCCCCTACCCCTACCCTCTGCACCACCTCTTAGTTTGAACTCAGCAGCAATATTTCTGGCTATATGGTCCGGGTGAGGCTCTAAGTCCATATTATACATGTACGCTAAGGATCCACAGGGTTTCAGATGCATCCTAACCTAAGAGTCAGAAGAGTGTCAGATAGCTCCTAGCTGCGGGACACACACATGCCATGTGCTGCAGATCAGAAGGTTGCCACAGGACAGGAAGAGGGCAGCATGAAGGCATCACCACTCCCTGGCCAACTCCCCGCTTGGCACAAACTTTAGGGAATGCAGTGCAAAGGCTTGGGATGAAAGGGGCTTACACGAACACTTATCTAGCATGGTTGGCAAGCAAGAAAGTTTGCAAATCATAGCAAGAACTGAGTGTGGCTGAGACTCAGAAGGGCAGTGGTCATAGTTGATGCTTGCAGTTTAGCACATGCAGTCACTGGGCAGGTTTTGGTGGGCATGACTGAGAGAGGGAGGAAGACAGATAATAGAGAACTTACCCTCACTCCCATGAATCTGTCCCTGAGAACGATCCATGACAGCAAGAAAACAAAAGCTTTGTTGCAGCAGAACAGCACGGAGACATCTGTAGTGTTTATTTTCTTTATTGCGTGTAAGTATAGGTAGTTTGTGAGAGTCCAAAGAACACCGAATGGTGCTGCCTTGGTAAAGAACACTTTCAAAGTCAAGCCATTGTCTCCAAAAAACCGACAGCATTCCCTAAGACAAGGAAAGAGAGAGAGAGAGAGGCAGCATTACACAGGGTTCAGGGTTCATTCAGACCATGACTTGTCATCTACTCAGCTAGTAAGTGAAAGAAAGTACAGGAGGGCTGTGGGTGTGGTTCGTTCAGTGGAATGTTTGCCTAGCATGCAAGAAGTTCAGGACTCTGTCCCTAGCACAGAATAAACCAGGCCTGTGGCTCATAATTCCAGCATTTGGGAGGTAGAGACAGGAGAATCAAAAACAAGAACAGATAAAGAAAACATAAGAAAGGACAGGGTCTTTTACTTGTTATTGTGTATTTGTGTGTGTGTGTGTGTGTGTGTGTGTGTGTGAATCTAAATGGGTGTGCAGGTGCCCGTGGGGGCCAGAAGATGTTACATTTCTGGAGTTGGAGTTAGAGGTGATTGTGAGCTGCCCAACATTGTGACCTGGTGTCACAGACTGTTCCTTGTGCTTACTCCAAGTTAGGAGCCCATGGCTTGCATGGCAGCTGTGCTGGGACCATCTGCCCTGGAGACTCAGGTCCACAGTGGCTGACTGAGGGCCTCTGTAACTTTTAAGAAGAAGAGAGTCCCTGCCAGGTGGCATCTGATCTGTGACCCACGGGCTGCAGGCTCAACACAGAACCATAAACTTACTTAAACACTGGAATTCCCTTTGCAGCGTGACTGTGTGGCTTTCAAGTATGAACATTGTAGATGAGAATGTCATATCACAATGTCTAAAGTATGAAACACTCTTATGTGGGCTAGACTTTTTATTTATTTATTTATTTATTTATTATTGATGAAGAAGGTGGTGAATAAGAATGGATAGTTTGTCTTTGGGCTCAGGCAGGGATGTGCACTTAAAAAAAAGATTTATTTGATTATGTGTGTTTGCCTCTGTCTGTATTTGTGCAGATGCCCATGAGGGCCAGACAGTGCTGGTCCCCAAAAGCTAGAGTTATATGGTGTTGTAAGCTGCCTTATATGGATGCTGGGAACTGGACTTGGGTCCTTTACAGATGCAGCAAACATCTCTCCAGTCCCTAGACAGGTAATTTTGGTGGCTGTGATACAAACAGTTGGAGCTGTCTGCAAATCTTCTCCCTGCTTTATTCTACCGTGTGACAGTGCGCATCTCCCCATTGCTAAGCTTACTAGAACAGAAGCAGCAAGCGCATCCAGGAAGTCAGGCTTTTGCCAGATGGGACCAGACAGGACATACCACAGAAGAAACCTTTCACACCACTCCAGATGTTCCAAGGGAAGTTCAGTGGTTTAAAGATGTTTGAGGAAAGCAAAGCTGCCTTTCACAGTCAGTGGAAGGAGCAAGGGAGGAGAAGCCTGGGGGTGGTAAGCATGGAGAGAGCCCGTGGAGAGGGAGTACCAGCTGCGGCTGTCTAGGAAGGAAGATCCTGGTGAAGAGAAGGATGACTGGGCAGATGCTGTCCTTAGTAGCTCACCCTGGCTGAGCAACAGCAACTGGCCAGAAAGGCAGGCACCTGGCCTGTGACTTAGAAGTAGATTCAGGCCTTACTAATCCTTACACAGCAGAAGAAAAGACAGTACTAGCTAAATACTAAAAACACTAGAGTTGAGAGTAGTGTGCCTGGGGCCACATAATATTAAAATCCAGCAATGAAACAAAATTAAAAACAGGAGCTAAAGGGGATTTGGTAATACTTTGAATTTAATTATGTTGTTTGATCTAATGAGCAATCTAAAATGCAGCCCGTGTTGTTTATTAGTCAACTATGAGGTAGTCACAGAAGAAACAGGAAAGTTATTAGAGAAGGAACCCAGGATCTGTGAGGTTTGAAGAACATGGCAGAGTATTGCCACCTGCACTGAGCCCAGGAGTCCAGTTTGGCACCCAACAAGCCAGTGCCAAGTAGAATATGCCATTCCCTGAAGAGGTCACAAACTGATTGACAGCAGCATTTCCGTTTTAGTGGGGTGGCAGCACAGTGTCCCACTACCTCAGAGGCTAGTGTCTGCTGAGAGATGCTCTGACAAGCATTCCAGCTTCTTTCTGAAGCCCCCATGGGCTCTGCAGGAGGGGTGACAACTTCCTTCATGTCTGTCATGTTGGTCATTACACAATTCCATGAGTATGCCAACAGGGTTACAGGTTTTGTCCTAGTGTGAATCCCAACTAATTTCTTCTGCTTCATAGGCCATCACCATGTGTTATGGTAGGAATCTCAAAGGTCCCCACAGGTTCATACTTTTTGTTCCCTGGCCAGTGCTGAAATGTGGGGAGGTTGAGGAACCTTGAGGAGGTGGGACTGGCTGGTGAGAGCAGATCATGAGGGATGGCCTTTGAAAGCCGTAGCCAGACCCTGGTTCCTGCCTCAGCCTCTACTCTCTGATCCACCAAGATGTGTATGGGCTTAATCTCAGGTCCTGCCATGCTTGCTCCACCATGTACTGAAACCTTCTGCAACAGTGAACTGAGCTGTTCCTATCAGATACTGTGTTCAACACAACATGAAAGTAACTAATAGGGTGCCAGCAGGACTCCACAATCTACCAGTCTTGCTGCTATAAAGCATGATTCATGCTGTGGCATGGGCCATCCAAAGCCAACCAGGCAGCTTATATCCACCTCCTCTGCAAACCTATTTGACTTCTCCAAAGCCTGATAGTAGTTGGGAAAGTGAGGGAAAGGAGGAGGGGGGAGACATGGAAGCATAGTTCAAGACACACTTCCCAAGCTGCTGGAAAGGCAGAGTTCAGTTGGTCTCTGACACAGAAAGTAGAAATGCAAGGGTTCTGGGTCTGTGGGCCTGGCATATTCAGCATGCACTCAGAATTCATGGCCAGGAAGGTACTGTTCAGCTTGGTGGAACTTGGTTTTAATGAGACCAAGGTGGCAAGCCCATGCTAGGCTAGGGAGCCACTACCTGGTTTAAGACTAAGGACTGAGCACTAATCCATGCCAGCTGGCTTACCTGGGTATGCCTTTGACTGCAAGGGAACCCAAGAGACCTGGGGGTGGGGCAGAGATCGACTTCTGCCAAGGACCCCCTCTTGGTTTACACTGAGTGCTCTTTTGATGCTCACCCATGAAACCGCACAGAACTTCTCTCATCCTTTCTACTCACTGATGCTCTGGACCAGAGAATTACCAGAGGATGGCTGGGTGCTCTCTAGTACACCCGAGTCCCCTCAGATCCTACTGGCCAAGTCAGAAGCTGACCAAGATTGAGATGTATTTGTTTAGGGCTCTGGCTGTGTCAAATGTTCTGGGTATGTCAACTACTTAATTCAGTTCAATATTTTATGGCCCAAGGAAATATAAACACTACAAGGAAGTATGTGTATGGTTTTTCTTTTTTCTTTTTCTCTTTTATGAAATACCAGTAGAGAGCTTTAAGGAAGGCATCCTAAAATGTGGCACTGAGATACTGACATGGACTTAAGTAACGAAACAATAGTGAGGCACAGGACAGATGTTTAAACTATTGGGTATTCCTGTACTTGCTGCTCCGGAGGAATCCCAGCTGGGATGTCCTGCAGTGGGAGGACTGAGCTGGCCTTTTAGTTCAAAGCAGCAAGTGCGTGTGAAGCATTTCTTACACTTTCAAGGCCCTCACAGGGCATCTTCTTGAAAGAAAACAAAATTAAATTTGTGTGTGTGTCTATATGCCTGTGTGTATGCGTGTGTGCATGTGTGTGTCTATATGTATGTGTGTGTGCAGATGCACACGGAGGTCAGATGAGGGCATTGGATCCCCTGGAGCTGGAGTTACAGGTGGTTCTGAGTTGCCTGATATTGGTGGTGGGAACTGAACTCAGGTCCTCTGCAAGTGCTTCGAACTGCTGAGCCATCTCTCCAGCCTGCCCCAACTCCCAAAATAAAAACCTTAAATTAAACTAACCTTTTGTTTTAAATTAAGACATTTTTTCATTTCTTTTTAAAAATTTTCTGCATGTTTTCCCCTGTGTCTTTCTGGGGCTACTTTTAATTTAATATTGGAGATTCCAGTTTGGTCTTTATGACCTGATTTTGCCTTTTGTCTTTTGTTTTTTCTTTCTTATTTTGGTTTTATTTTATGGACAAATACCTTGAGTTGCAACTCTTCTATCAAACATTTATAATTAGTTTTTTTTTAAATTTAATTTTCAAGGGTAGTCCCAGATCCATCTTATAGTACAACTTGGAAGATAGGGCTGATCCCTTTAGTAGGAGGAGGTGCAAGCCTAAATATAATGACATATTAGATGGCACCTTAGCAGAATATGAAGATGCTGTGGAAATCCTCCCTGATGTAGAGAACAGGGATGATTGAGAGATGCCATAAAAGACACAGATTCTTAAGTGATCTTGAAGGATTCACCAAGGTGGGTGAGCAGATAAGGAGATAAATTGTGTCTATAAAAAGTGAACAAGCAGTTGTGGAAAAGGAAGTAATCTTGGAAATTAAATATAAGATAAACAAATTCAAAAAATCAATAGAAGAATTGGGATATAAATAATCTTCCATAAAATAAGAGAAAATAAAATCAGATCAAAACAGGAAGCCCAGTATTAAATCAAAAGAATGTTCTAGAAGAAAAAACAGCAAAGTGAAATACAGGAAATAATAGAGATGTGGGTGAGAGAGTCTCCGGGAACTGGAGGGGAAAGAGCTTCACAGCACAGTGGTCCACCAGGCGCTGAGCAATCACAGAGAACCGCAAGAGAAAGCTAGATAAGCCGGGTCACAGCTATGTGCTAGCAATTGAGGGGCAGAGACAGAGGACCATAAGTGTGAGGTCTGCATGGGCTACAAAGTGAGAACCCATCTGAAGAAAACAAACAATGGAAGAAAACAGTCCACGGGGCAGGAAATCATAACAGGACCAGGCATCTAACAACGAAACCAGAAGCAAAGCAGTCACGAATGCCTGAAACATTAGGGAACATTTCTCTAGCTGTTGTTATGTAGCCAGCCACAGATTGAATGTGAAGATAGAATAAAGATGTTTTTCATGGCACAGCACTTTGACAACTTTGACTCCACA